TCCCGCGCTATATACAACTTTAATAATATCATAAAAAGTCGTAATTAATATTCGTTTTTTGTTCCAGTTATAATAACATATAAAATTGCGATGTGATATATTGCAGCAATGACTGCAATATATTGCATCACACTTGAAAAATATTCAAAGTAAAAATTTCATCTCAAAGAGAAAGGTCAACCAGTGGGTTGCCTTTTAGGCAGCAGAAAATACATTGAGGCTGCTCATAGATCTCTGAGAATAGTTCTAGTTACTTATTCTAAAACTATTAACTTCCCGTAGTGTAAGTTATAATAATCGCAAAAAATCGAAAATGAAAAATTTTATATATTTTATATAAGGTTTCAAAGGTTTCTGAATATATTGGCATAACCTTAGAAAAAATGGATGTATGTGTGTATGGGTGTGTGTGCGTGTGTGCGGATACAAATTTTCCTCGACGATTTCGGGAACACCGATTAACCGATTTGTATAATTAAAAAAACATTCGATTTGTATTGATAAGGACACGTGCTGATTAGTTTTTGGCGAAGGCAGGCCTAGCCGTTCCTAAGATACGGAGCAGAAAGTGCAAAAAAGGCAAGTTCTATGAGAACAAATCGGCGATTTGAATGATTCAAAAAACATTCGATTCGTATTGATGTGGAGAGGTACTGATTAGTTTTTGGTATATAGCAAAAAGTGCAGAAATTCCGAATAGATCCTAAACATCCGCTCATAGTGTTGTACGTTATCCGTCGTTATAACTGCGTTGGTTAGCGCGTCATGCAATTTTCGTTTGCAAGTAATAAAAAAGGCAAAACTGATCAGGTTCGAATCCAGGACTGTCATTTTTTTAAATTTTTTTTTAATACTTGTTATGTTTGTATAGTTGATACTACATGACTATTTAAAATTGTTAACTCAGTGCATACGTGTATATTTCGCAAACGAAAAATTGATGCATTTGAAATAAAATATTTTCATTCTAACAATAAGCCTGCTTAATTAAATTTTGTTTTATATATATATATATATATATATTTCATTCAAACATATATATAATACAACGTCGTCTAATCTAATAAGTTTTCACATTTTGTCTGCAAGGAACAAATAATGAAAATTCGAGTTTTTTTATAATATTTATTCATAGACATTTTTTTTGACTGATTATTTTTATTCTTCGAATTACGGTGCGGGACGTTCCAGCAATTTGCATTAAGCGAATCGAATTATTCAAATCGCTTCATCCGTGTTCCCGAAATCGTCGACGAAAATTTGTATCCGAACACACATACACACGCACACACATACACACACACATGCACACACACATACATGTGCCATACACCACTAGTTATTAACACCATGTTTTAGTAAATTTTTATAATAATTTGTGAACTATTTATATCACTTACCCATAGTACTTACCGTTGCTTACTTATCAGCATCAATGTTATATCTTAATATTCATTACAAATTTGATATAAGATTTGCAATTACAACTTTGTAATAAACAATAAACCTTACTTATACAATACTTATATACTAAAGCTGTTCATCATAAAATTTTTAACTCATTGAATTGTCAAATAAGGTAATTTGTAATTTATTGCTATAATTTATTGTTAGATAACTTACCTGTACTTAACTCGAAAACTGGCTGATTCGCAGGTTCAGCTAAAGCAGCTGCATCAGTATTTATCAAAATACAAGAGATTATTATTAAATATAATGTACATTGTGGTAGCAACATCTTGTGCAAATTAATGAAAAGACTTACAACGAGTGATCGGCTAAATGCGATTTTCAAAGTGGTTTAATAAATTTATCTGGTGATTTTGTTAGAATAATGTTATCAATCTATTTCGATATTACGCAAAACACTGGTTCTAAAATTATTTTTCAGATTACAGTTTTCCTAATATGTATTTGGATGATTAAAACTTTTTAGTAAGTTTTTACTATGATTAAAAAGCTTGATATTGCGTTTTTTGTATGTTCTTGTAGTTTCCTTTTACCATGAAATTACAAAAAGCTAGTGCTGCGCATGACATAAATTTTTGACAAAAAATTACTTTTTTTTGAAGAAAAGTGTATCTTGAAATATTTTGGAAATTCTGAACTTTTTTTCAAAGCAATCGTACTGCTTTAACTGCATAGAGACGAAATATCGAAGCGGGTAAGCGCTGGGCGCCGTCCAACGATAAACATTGGTACGGAACCCATAGGAATGTAAACAAAATTTATACTTATTGTTAAAATCTCTATAAAATATCTAATAATTTGATATGATATGTCTAATGATCATTTTTGACCGCCAGGTGGATTTTTTTTTACTTTTTTTACTAGATCTCCGAAACCGCTAGACCTGCCTTCATTTGATCAGTTCTTCACCTTGTCAATACAAGTAAAATGTTTTTTGAATTATTCAAATCGGACGCTCCGTTCTCTTAAAAACTGAGTTACCGTTTTTGACACTTTTTGCCCCATATCTTCGGAACGGCTAGACCTGCCTTCGCCAAAAACTAATCAGCACGTCTCCTTATCAATACGAATCGAATGTTTTTTGAATTATTCAAATCGCTTCATCAGTGTTCCCGAAATCGTCGACGAAAATTTGTATCCGATAGACATACACACGCACACACATACACATTAAATGTTAAGATACGTATTGGATGCTTATTGGTTTCTAGAAAAAAAATACTGTTTCTAATTTTTTAAATATATAAATGAGCATATTCAAAAGACTTTAACTACAAGATTTAAAATTTCGGACTGACTTCTTCTTCAAACAAAATAACAATATTAGGAAAATATTAGGAAAAAATTATTTTTATTTTTGTGAATGGCTATTTTGGTTCTTAACAAAAATGAAGAGCAACGATTAGTATTTTTGTTAAACATATTTATTTTTTCCGATTCTTGGAGCAGAAATTTATGTTTTCGCCAAGAAATCCGATTTGCTAATATTATATTTTCTCTACGTTCCAAGTCGTCCTGAAACCTTTGGGACCAAATTTGGTAAATGTATGCATAATGTGTGTACGTAAGCCGACTTTTCGATCTATCGTCGACGTTTTCTCAAAAACTGCTGCACCGATTTCAAGAAATCAACAATTCCCCAAAATTTCACCCCAAAATATGCATCGATTTCACCTATTTCACAATTTCAGCTATTTGATATAACTCGATAGCGACTAGTGTTCATCAGTCATTCGTGGTAATCAGCCAAGTCGTTTCTCTGTCATAAACAGAAACGTGCTAAAATTTTTATTCACGTTTTAGCCAAAACCCTAAATCGATTTTAAAAATGCAAAAAGGCTTGGAAGATATTTGGTATCCTGATTATTAGTTTTTGACCATGATTGACCGAGACATTTTTTCGTAGTATAATGTCAAGTAAAAAAAAATTAGTGTTTTTAATGAATTAATGACGTTGGCTCTATATAGACAATAAATGTAAGTTTTATTGTGTAAAATACTGCTCCACCATTCCTGAAAGAGGATTTGGTATCCATATTTATCCGGGTCTAAATTATGTATTCGCGACGGGCCCACACTTGGTTATTTTGGGCTCCTTTATTTTTAAAATTTGGAAGCAGGTTATTGATAATGAAAGTCCTTAATATCCATATATTTATAATAAATGTAATATCCATATATTTATAATAATGTTATAAAATATTGTTTCTTCTTTAAAAAAGAACAAGAACCACATGTTTTCTTACAAAATTATCTTTCAATTCTACCTTAACGCAGATTGTTAAATTCATATCGCACGTGTGTAATTTCTGCTTGATTTATAACAAGTTAAATATGACTTTGTTTCTGATAATTTAATTCATAAAATATTTAAATTTATTACCAGAATGCACGCACTTTTAATTCAATCATATATTATGTTACATATCATTTTAACTTTTTACAAAAACTTTTGCAAAATTGCGAAAACTTTTATTTTTTTAACAAATTTTAGACAAATCAAATTAATTATTGCATATTTTTTTAGAAGACTCGCAATTTTAATGACATTAATCATTTTGGTATTTTGTGAAGCAGAACTTTTTAGACTAAATAAAAATGCAGTTACAAATATTTTCTGTTTTTACCAAAAATACTGCCAATACGGATCTTATTTGGAACTGTCAAAATGAGTTGTTCAAAAAATATTCAAAACACATTTTATCAAAATTTCTAAAGCTCATATATTAAATAAATTAATATGTTAATACATGCATGTATTTAAATTATGACCAAAATACACTTGCCTAGCTTTTTTTCGAAGATATTTCATTTTTTCTCATCGAAAAAAATTAATAGGCTAAATAGGGCTTGAGGTTCCGCTGGTAAAAAGGTCAACGACTGATAACTCAAAAACAAATAAAGTTAAAAAAAATTAACAACAATTTTTGAAAATAAAACGAAAAAGATGTATAACCAGCCATCATCTTGATTTTTACAACTTATCATTTTTGTTATCGGGAAACGTATATTCTTTCGTAGTTAGTTTTTTCTGGTTGTGAGCATTGTTTAGGAGAGCTTAATATAATTTTTAAGTATACGTTATTATAAGACGTATACAAGAGATAAATTAAACTAGCGCATCGTGCCATAAGGCAAATTGAAATAAATTGAAAGTTTTATTAAAGAAAATTTTTTTTAACTTATATATTATTTATTTACACGCGCATAAATACATAAAAAATTATGTTGTTGTAAATTATTTTTTTGTAAATTAATTCTTTTCAGAGTAGTCCAAATTTAGATTAATAAATTTACTATTTGCGGTTTATCACGTGGTCCATCTCATAGTAACATTTGAAACAAACGGAACTCTTAAATTTTACATATTTGGCAACGCGGATGTCAATGCTACCAACCTATAACAAATTCTCGTAAATGTCAAACTGACATGTAACAGGACACCGCCGACCCTCGCCGACATTGGTCTTTCTTCATTCATTCCCGAGAAACAATTTGGTGACTTCTACTTAAAATTGTTTTTTATAAAACTACTGCCAAAATGTCGAATTTAAAATCGTATACTATAGATGAAGTCAAGAAACATAATACAGCAGAAAGTTTGTGGATAGCTATACACAATAAAGTATACGATGTCACTGCCTACAAAGAGGAGGTTAAACACATGTTTTTACTGGATTTTGTTAATTTTTATGGAATATTATTAAATCAAGTATTTTTGCAGCATCCTGGTGGACCAGAAATACTTCTTGATAATGCTGGTACGGATGGAACGAAAGAATTCGATGATATTGGACACAGCCCTGATGCTAAGTGAGTTGTTTCTTTAAAGAATATTTATTTAATAGTAGTAATAATATAATTTTTTATTTTTCAATTTTATGAGTATAATATCTTCAAAAAATCTACTTTATTCATTTATAAAATTATACATTTGACTATTATGGTTCAGTATATGTAAGACTGTGTGGGTCAGCATTCGGCAAACCGAGGTAAATTACACCAAAAGGAGTAAAGATGGAATTTTTGAGTGTTAAAAGTATATATTTTCAATTGATTCTTACTATATTTGCTACATCTATGCATTGATAATAAGTCAGCTTCAGTAAAAGTTAAATTAAAAATTAATTTTGTTTAAATTAATTTTTTATTTTTTATTTACTGATATAATATTTTCATATCTCAGTCAGGCTCAGAGATTATGAAGCAATTTTATATACATATTATTTGTCTATTTTATTATACAATAATATAGTAATTATTATATTTAAAATATCTTTAAATATCTATCCAATCTTTTTTGTCTTCAATTTCCATATAATATTTCTTTATTTTCCTTCTGAAGTTATTGTCGTCACTGGTATTTTTAATATCGATTGGCAGTTCAATATATATTTTACTTGCGCTCCATATCACATTTCCTCTTAATTTATTTCTATTAGTTCAAAGTGAAAATTTTCGTGTTTTCTAGTGTAGTGTTCATGTACATCTTGATTTATGTCTATTTATAATTTATACAAAACTATTTTGGAGAAATGATTGAAAAAGTTTCTGAACACTGGTCTAGCTGAATCAAAAATAACAATTTCAATATCTTCTTTAAAATTAATTAATTAGTACTAATATTAATGAAAGAAATTCAAGAATTTTATTATGTTTGCAGAAAAATAATGCAGAAGTATTTAATCGGGACTCTTGAAGAAAAACCATCTAAATCCTCCACATTTGATGCCCTAAAAGCTGACTTACAACAAAAGTAAGTAACTTAAAATTGTAACATATTTGTAATAATAGAAATATCAGATGACTGTCGGCAAGTGTTCTAAAATTATGGTTTAAAAAACAGTTTATAATGATGTTTTTTTATAGTTTTTACAGGTATGCAGCAATTCTCTCGGTGTAGATATGTAGTGGGGCCAACTTTTTAGTATATAAACATGGTCAAGTAAATTACAAAGATTGATAAAAGTATTTCTTTGATGAAATAACGGAACACAAATTGTCTTGCATGTTTAGTTTAATATGGGGGATTTTAGAAGTTAATGTTTGTCACAATAGATGGTTTAGGTTACTAGATGCAATAATAAGACTTTTAATACCAAATATTTATTACCTTTTTGTAAATATATTATGAAACTATTTTAAAAATGATCATCAATTATCAATTTACATTCTTAAACTTTAAGTAATATTTTATAATACTCATCGTTTATTAAATGATTTTCCTTTTGTAATGTATTTATTGTGTTATATATAGGCAGTATATTTTAATAAATAGTGTATTACAATATTGCACTTGTTAACAAAAACTATATCAAACGTAACAAATACCAGTGAAATATATATATTTAGTTTAAATATTTGTGTGTATCTAACATAATCAAAATGCTTGGAGACAAAATGTCAAGTACAAAATATAGTAATTTGAATAAATATAGTCTAGTATCTTTTAAATTTGTAATTGAAAAAATGATTATGATTTCAGTAACAATTTGTTAAAATGTTACATTGAAAGAATCAATTTGTAAATTAATTTGGGGGCAATATGATAGTGCATATGTACATATTCATAACATGCTAGTAATACTATTTTTTTTTTTATTTCAAGATGTGGACATCAAAGATGCAGCATTATAACTTTGTCATAAAATTGAATATTTGAGCATACAAAATAATATTCGAGGTTGCATAATTTATTATATTTATATTAAATAGAAATGGCTTTTCTCCTCTAAACTCTTCATTATTGATTGCTTTATATTATATTTTTTTAAATAAGATATTTGATATTTTATAAATGCATTAAGAATTGATATTGAAAATTATGGTATATAACTATTTTACGTTCTAGTTTGGATTATTATTGTAAGTGTACATACAATTTTTCATTGATGAGGAAAGTTTCATATCATGCCTCATTTTCAAAACACCCGCCAAAAACTAAGAACGTGTTATTTGAGGTAAGAATATGTCAAAATCAAAACACAATAAAAATGTATTCACATGTATATATTTTCTAAAAAATGAATTGTCTCTAGTGTTTAAATACATTGTTTTTATTGTCTTTTTTATTTTAATATGTATTCCAGAATTGTACAAGGATTTTCAAGATGTATATTGTTTGAAATTAAACAAAATAACATTAAATCACAAGCACAAAGATTTGTGGGCACCGGTATTTATATTTATAGAATAAATAAGCTATAAATCCAAATTTTACTTTTCCAAAGTTACTGGATCTAATATAATATAATCAATTAGTTTTGAGTTCAGAAATTTAATTCATAAACCCTGGTCTGATTCACAAAGAATGTTAAATACCTTTATGATTCTTCAAATAATTCTACTAATTTATTCTTTTGATTGAAATATTCTCACTGACAATCTAAGAAAAACTGTGCCAAAATACTTGTAAATTGATTGTAATATACATTTTGTGTTGTTCATATTCTCGATACAAAGTTTTATAAACAGTACTAAATGAATTTTGAATTGAGTCAGTTTAGTAATCGTTCAGAGTTATCAAAAAAATACATATGAATTTGCGGCTTAATTTTAAATGTTCAGCAACTATTCAAATATTCAGTAACATATTTAAAAGCTGAAAGTATATTTTTGTCTCAAACATCAACATTTACTTTTGTTCTTGAAAGTTCATGAAATAGATCAATAATCGAGACTATAATAAAATTGTGATTGATTTGCACAGAATATGTAAATTTAAGTTTACAATAATCAAACTCGTCAGATAATTATTTAATTATATTACTATATTAATACATTTACTTTTCATAAGTCATCAATATTGTAGTTACTTTTTCATTATTTTTTCTAGGTAGTATCTATACTAATAAAGTCAGTTCAAGTGATAATGGACACCATGAACAAGTTGGTGTTTTAGTCGAAACAATTTGAGTCAATTCCAGATAATAAGCAATGGGATGAATGCGCAATGCAGTCTTAGAACAAAAAACAATGATTGATAAAAATAATATCGATGCTATAGTCCTTGGCTTTTGCAGCAAAAACTTAAATTAAAACAAAGTCTTATGTTAATTATTTGAAAGCACATAATATCAATCCCAATTTTGCCACTATCGGTAATATTGAAATCCTATCATAACCATTATGAGAAATAAGATGTTCCTCCAGAAGAAATTGCATCAATTTTGGGATGGTAGAGTTTGATTTTGTTTTATTAAATTTATATATATATA